CTGGTTCTAAATAATAAAAAAAAAAAAAAAAATAAAACCAGAGGCTGTGTGTTCACCTCCTCGTTCCAGTTTAGTTCAGCAATCAGAGCACCCTCTCTGGCTGTGCTCACCAGCACTCAGGAGCCTTTGCTGTAGACTCTGCAAGAACAATCAGTTTTAGGCTCGCAGCTCAGACATCTCAGGGCTCATCTGGGGAATAAAAAAAGGGCTTTCTTCTTTTCCTCCCCTGATTTTTTCCCCTCATTTGTGCTCATTTCTGGCTTTGAAATGAATTGCTTTAAATCTCAGCCCAGCAAGAGCTGGAAAACCAGAGGGCTCTGTTCAGGAACATTCCCTGGGAGTTCAGGCAAAAGCCAGGCTGAGACCTTTTTTCTGAGACTGAGCAACATGAGGAGAAATATTTGGGGATGTAGAGCAAAGAAACAGGCCCTTGGAAGGCAGAGTGTCCCTACACATGGAAAAGGGATAGAACAAGGTCCTTTAAGGTCCCTTTTAACTTAAAACATTCTGGGATTCAGTGATACAGGAAAAGATGGAAGAGGTTTGAAAAAAACATGGGTCTCACCACACTTGTCTAAAATGCTTTTTCCTCACCAATGTCAAAGAAAATCCCACTTACCATGGGATGAACCTGCAAGAAATGTCCCATCTCCCTGCCTTTACCTCTCAACAGACATTCTCTGTCTTTTTTTTTTCCTTTACACTCAATACATCAGACACCAAAAACAACAGAAAGGATTCGTCTCCACAGATTGATCAAAGCCCAAAAAACGCTGTTCCAAACCAGCCTGAGCCAAGGCACGAGAAATGCTCGGCCTTTCCCTTGTAACAGAGCCTTATTTATCACGGTGGAAAGGGTACTTTGAGGAGGCAAATGGCCAAGCAGTGCCTTTGATACATGGAGATGCTTCGAGATAGGTATGATATAGAAAACCTCGGCGGAGATATGTCCCGGCTAATCTGACAGTTATCTCTTTTACAGCCAACTCCTGTCATTTCAGTCTTTGAGAAGTGCCAGCTCTGCTGATAACTCAACGCAGCGGAGGAGAAAGCCTTTGTTAATTAAGCTGCCTTCATTTTCATAGCGCTCCGAGCTCAGGGAGCTGCTGCTGTGGGGCCCTTTGTGCCACACATCCCCTGTTGGTGATCGATAGATGGACATTGCTTTGGGATTTTTTTTTTGCGTGTAAAGTTGTTTATTGTAAAGAAGTTTTGTATTTTATAAGAATTTGAATAATTAATATTTAGTTTTTGTTTGCATATAATGTATAGAATGGGTAAAGTTTGGGGTTTTGTGGGGGTTTTTTTTAATGGTTTTTAGCTTTTTGTGAATTGATTTTTTGTATTTAATTTAATTTAATAGAAAACTGTTTTTTTAGAGGTTTTTTTTTGTTTACCAAAGTAAATAGATATTTGTTGTTTAAGGCCTGCATTTCCACAGTCCCCCCAAGCCAGGACAGCTGCAAATCCTCACCCAGAGTGTGTGCAATGCTCCCTGGGATGAAGTGCTGCACAAACCAGACTCCCAACTCACCTGGAACTCTGCAGAATCCCCCCTTGGAGGCAAAAAACCCTCGGTGAAGGATGCACAAACCTGCCCATTGTCCCTCAGCTGATGCAGGGCTGATTTTCCCAGCGTGGTGTTGGGTTCCAGGGGGGAGCCCATTTATACCGAGTTCATGAGAGCCACTTTGTGCCCAGGAGAGCTCAGCTCTGTGTTTTCAATCAGTTAGTGGCCATCAGGCTCTAATGGGCTTTCTGGAACTGTGGCTGCTTTATGCTCTGTCCTGCAGGAGTTTGGGCTCTCTTGGCTGCTCCCTGAGCTGTGTTCACTCCAGGAAAATGTGATGTTCCCTCACTCTTAGACCCTCAGCAAACTCTGAGTGTCACACGTGAGCCCAGACTCATTTCTGACCATTTCTGGTGGAAGTTTTCCGTTCCTTTTGCCTGATTCTGCCCCCACTGAGGCTGTTCGCATTGCCCTGCAGTGGTTCCTCGCTCTCCTCCTGATGGGCACTGCTGTTTTTCCCCCTCTAGCAAAAGGGGGAAGAAGTTTCTTTTAGGAAACGCAGGAATTTTTTTCACTACAAGAAATCCCATCACCTCCATTGGATGGATGAGTGAAGCAGAAGAGAGCAACACCCATCCTGCAGGTAATTAACTGCAGAGCTAATGAAACTGAAGTGATGGAGGGGATTTGTTCACTCAGACCAGGCTTTTCACTGCCACGTTTCACCCCAAACTGGTCCATCTTTGCTGATTTTCTCTTTCATAAACTCAGAAAATGAGCAGATTTCACAGGTCCCTTGTCTTTAGCTTCTTTTTTACCATTCAGAGCCATCACCCAAGGTCTACCCAAACCAGTCCCTGTGTCTATCCCAGTCACCCTGAACCCACAGCTGCAGTTCCCAGTTCACAGGGACTCACAGCCCTCTCGATAACTCCAGATCTGTGCAAAAAAAAACCCCAAAAAACCCTGTTCCCTGTGCATCTCCCTCCACCTTTGGGGTCACTTACCTGGTGAGGCACCGAGTGCTCAAGGAGAAGGGCAGCAGCAGGGAAGATTTCTGTGGATCTGGAATGGTTAAAAAAATTTCTGCCTCAGGACCATCGAGGGCTTAGTGTCTGTTTTATAATTTATAGCTCAGCATCTCTCTTCCCAAGGTTTTGTGCTCACTGAACAACCCTTTTCTGTTTTATGTACACAGGCTTAGCTCAGGAAATGCCCCCAGGTTAGTCCAGGCCTCGTTAATACCTTCACCCATGCAACCTCCGGGGAGAAAACAGCTTTTTATCGTTAGGTGAAAATGGAACTGCCTGGAAAAAACAACACAAACACGGGGTTTTAGCCCACGAGGAGAGATTGCAACTCTTTTAGTTAGGAAGCTGCCAGGCTGCTGTGGACTGAGCCAGGGCTGGAGAATTGGCTGTCAGGGCAGGGAGAGACGTGAGCCCGAAACAGAGGGCGGCAGGAGGCTCGAACGCACCGGGGAGAGGGGAGAGAGCAAAGTATTACATTTTAATTGATCTAATCTTTGGCTCCCGGCGGAATTCGCTGAGATATCTTACTAGAATTACCCGGGGTTTATCAGGAGACAGCAATACTGGGAAAGTGCCTCTTGCATGGCAAACTAGCCCAGATCTTGAACTGCATTAGCATCGGGGCTGGCTGAGCAAAAGGGCCCCCACAATGGTTCCAAAGATGAGAGGAAAGGAAAAAAAAAACCTGTAAAAGAGGGAATATGTAAGATGTAAACCCATCTGGGCACGCAAATGTGTGTGAGCACAAACCCAGCACATGCATAATGCTGCCTGCTCCCTCCTGGTGGGACCTGCAAGGATTTAGAGAGAGCAGAAAATACAGGACCAGTACATCAGAAAAGGCATCTCAATGACAGCAGCTTTTATCCTCCTCATCTGAGGTCCATTTCTGCTCTGAGTGCAAACCCTCTGGACATTAAAAGAAAGAAAAATAGCATTAAAAAGAGAGAAGAGGGCAAGAGGGACATGAAACAAATCTCCTTAAAATACAGACCCAGGTATAAAATACCATGTGGGTGGAGCAAGCTATCAGGAGAGACAAAAAGCAAAGACACTGAGAAACCGGGTGGTTTCTCATCATTTTTTTCCTTGACATCCTCTGTCTGAGCCGATGACTGCAAGATCTTTGGAGATGCAGAATAATGTCTGGCTCTGTCAAGATTTCTCTTTATTCAACGCGGGGAAGCGGTGAAAAAAACATCAGGTCTGATAAATGATTCATGGAGCCTTTTCTTCTGCTAATCTGTAAATAAATTTTAAAAAGCAGCTCCCTTTTGATGAATATATTCTGCGGCTCGTAAAAACATGTTGGCCTTAAAGCACAACACGGGTGCTCTCTGATGTCTCTGGTGCTGCTGTCAGGGCTCTGAAAGCCCAGCCTGGCTCCTGGCAGGGCTGGATGGAGTTTTCCTGGCTGACCTCAGCTGGGGAGCTGCCTGTCCAACCCTCTGGCTCTGGGGAAGCCTGTCTTCATCCCACTGTTCTGTTCAAGTCAGGGAGAGGGGAACATCCCGTGGATTTACAGGTGTGAAAGCCAGGGAGGATCTCTGTGAGCATCTCGTACGACATCGTGTAAAACAAGCTCTAAATCCTCCCTGTGCTGCAGTTTTACAGGCACTGAGAGGCTGAGCTTGCTTTCACACCCTGCTGGGAGCAACAGAACCACCTCAATGTGCCCATCAGCAGGGATCATATCCCATTCCTTCTCAGAAGCTTCTGGGGAATCACCAGAACCACCTCAATGTGCCCATCAGCACAGATCACACTTCATCCTCCTCAGAAACTTCTGGGAATCACCAAAATCACCCTACTGAGCCCATCACCAAGGATCACATCCCATTCCCTGCTCATCCTCCTCAGAAGTTTCTGGGGAATCACCAGAACCACCTCAATGTGCCCATCAGCACAGATCACACTTCATCCTCCTCAGAAAGTTCTGGGGAATTATTAGAACCATCCTACTGTGCCCATCACCAAGGATCACATCCCATCCTTCTCAGAAACTTCTGGGGAATCACCAGAACCACCTCAATGTGCCCATCGGCACAGAACACACCCCATTCCCTTCACTCCCTCCTCAGAAACATCTGCTGGAACCATCCTGGATTCCCCCTGCTCCTCTGGGCTCCAGTCAGCAGGTCTGGGAAGGATGGACCTGCATCCCTGCTCATCCTGCAGTCAGTTCTGAGTTCTCTCCTTCCCCACCACCAGAAATTTTGGCATTTTTTTAAAAATTGACCTTTGGTTTTTTTCCTCCCTGTTTTCCTCCTGTTTCCCTGCAACACCACAGGTGTAGACCCACTCAGGGAGAAGAGACCTGCAACAGCCAAAGCACCTCTTGCCTTTCAGTTCCTGGGTTTCTCCCTGAGCAAACGGGCCTCAAACTGTCTCACAACTTTCCTGACTCTGAACAGGGAAGGAAAAAGGAAAAAAAAAAAAAGCGTGATTATACAAGGACATCTTTTATTTCAGTACATTCAAGACAAAAAGAAAAGAAAACAATTCAAGAACAGGATGTACCTTCACTCAAGGCTTTATCTCCCCTGCCCCTCTCCATTGTCATCTCTTTCCTTTTACAACCAGAAATTGCATAGAATTTGTTTTTTTTTTCAATCAGAAAATTAAATTCGCCAGTGTAAACCCCACATCTGTACCAAGCAGAGGGTGAGCTGCTGCTCTTTCTAGGGAAGTCAATATTTTCCTTACATGAGATTCCAGGCTAATGGTTTTCTCAAATGCTGTGTGGCTGGAATTCACCCTGGAAGTCGAGGGTGCTCCGTGGGGTCACGGATTTGGGGAGAGCTCAGGGTCACCTCAGGGGCGTGCAGAGCACAGCCAGGGACACTTTGGGGGTCCCAACACCTCCTCCCTCGCTGCTGGGGATGGGCAGCCCCCCACTCTCTCCTGCTCCCACCTCACCTCCCTCAAAAGGCTCCCCCACCCGCATCCCGAAACCAGAAAATTAAAATAAAAAAGTGAAAGATAACCCCAGAACGAAACAAAAGACACAGAACCCCTGAAATTCCAAGCGTTTCAAGGCCTCTTTGAGTTCACTGTGTTCGTTGGCTGTTTTTTTTGGCATTTTAATATGTATATATATATATATCTATGTATAGATATATTTCTCTATATATGTAATTTTAACAACTCTTCAGATGGACTTCCAACAAATGCTGCTTCTCACAGGGAGCGTGTCCCACCCCATCCCATCCTCCCCTTCCCCCCTTCAACCCCCTTTCCACACTCAGCAAAGGAAGAAGAGTTCAGCACCTGGTGCCTTGGAGACTGGGTCCTGACATACCCAAATGAAACAAAAAAAAAAATCCAAAATAATGACTCCTCCCTGCCCATATCCACGGCAAATAAAAAGTCCCACCCCTGCCCTTGGAGAGCATCCCCGGTGAGTGATGGAGAGGCAGCGCCAGTGTCCTTCCTCCTGACCTCGGAGGGGAGATGTTCCAAGAACCCCTGCAGCCCCTGGGTGGGGATATCTGCTACACCCACGGCGTCCCTCCTTCCCAGAGACCACCTCTGGACACCCACCAGCCTCAGGACCTCCTTCCCTCCACGCCAGGCCATGGTGGACACCGAAACCACAGCCAAACCTCCGGCCAGGCCCCCGCCTTGGCGTCCACCCCGAGGTCCGCTCGCTCCGGAGAAGCCGGGTAACCGCTATCGATTTAAAAACGAGTTGACATTGTACAAGTCCGTGTTCTGTAAAATGGAACAGGACCCTCTCGCCCCACCCCGGTGCCCCCAGTCCTGGCATTACTCGGGCCCGCTGCTGTTGGTGGCCTTCTCCCACTCCAGGCTCTCCTCGCTCCGCGCCGGTGACCCCGCGGCCGGCCGCGCTCGGAGCCCCTGGAATCGGCGGCACTCGGGGCACACGCGGATGTGGGTGCAGCCCCGGGCGACCAGGGCGGCCTCTTGGGCCAGTCTTTGTGCCAGGGGGTCCGGCTCGCCCCCGCTGCACAGCTTGCCGTTGCTGAGCGTGGTGGTGCTGCGGGCTCGGCGCTCCTCGGGCAGTGCGGGGCGAGTCCGTGCCACCCCCGCCCGCCTCCGCCGGGGGTGGAAACTGTCCTTGCACAGGATGATGTTGCGCAGCTCCGTCACCATCTCTTGGCACACAGACACCTGCAGGGGACAAGGGAGGAGTTCTGCTCACCTGAGCCAGCTCTGAGGCCATCAGGGGTCTGGAGGGGTGAGGGCTTGGGGAGATCTGGGATAGTGGGGGTGTCCCCAGCCAAGGCAGGGGATGGATCTGGGTGAGCTTTGAGGGCTCTTCCAACCCCTCTGGGTGAGCTTTAAGGGCTCTTCTAATCAGCTGGATGAGCTTTAAGGCTCTTCAACCCAACTAGGTGAGCTTTGAGGGCTCTTTAACCCAACTGGGTGAGATTTAAGGGCTCTTCAACCCAACTGGGTGGGCTTTAATGGCTCTTCCAACCCAACTGGGTGAGATTTAAGGGCTCTTCCAACCCAACTGGATGAGCTTTAAGGGCTCTTCAAACCAGCTGGGTGAGATTTAATGTCTTTTCCAACCCAACTGGGTGAGCTATAAGGTCTCTTCCAACCCAGGCCTTTCTGTGAGTCCATGACATGACTCCAATGGCAGATTATTACAGACTTGGTGCTTCTGGTTTTCAACATCAATTCTCAGATGTTTCCTCTTGGTTTAACTCAACCCTGCCTCTCAACAGAGACCCTCCCGTGTTCTGCACCCCATATCAGTACAAGATCTAAACCTGCTGCAGGTGGAAATCCATCTCTGGGAAAGGTACCTGGATGCTGTGCACATCATTGATCCCCTGGAGCATCCCTACAGCCTTGTTCTGAGTAGGAGCACACGAGAAACTCATGGATTTTATATCCTGCCCAAAGGACCAAGCCTGTTCAGGTTTGAGGTGTCCAGGCTGGGTGCATGGCATGCTCTAGGACACCCCAGAGAGGGCAATAAACACACCCTGTCCCCTCAGGGCCCTCCCAGCTCCTACCTCTGACTGCTCAGAGTGTCGAAGGCTCCACAAAAATTCCAGCATTGCCATAAAAATTGCTACGATTAAGCCACAGATGAGCACCACGAAGATTCCACCAATGTTCTCCATTCCCAAGCCTGAAATAAAGCAGGGGAGACAATCTGGAGAGGCAGACACGTCATCAATCTCGAGCATCACTGCGGAGAAACCCCAGGTTTTGCTGTTTTGTTGGCATTGTAGACGGCCAGCCAGGAACCAAAACCACGGAGCCAGCAGTGTCCTATTAATAGATCCCTGCATGACTCAGATGGCCGAGTGAGTGACTTGCAATAGCTGCAGGATCGAAGATGCCTTCTCAGAAATGATGATTTTGCAGATAAACAGCCAGAACGTCGGAGGGAAGCACGAAGCAATTTGTGGGCAAACGGAAAACGGGAAGGAACGAGGCGCGATCAATGGGGCACATTAATCCCCGCAAATTATTCACCTGGACTGTGCAAAGGAAGGGGAGCAAGGTTGTTAAAGGAGCAGGGATGAAGGGATAGGGATGAAGGAGACAGGGAAGGGCTTTAAAGGAAGCTGGCATCAGGAAAATCTCCCCAGACTGCATCACAAAGTGCTGCAGGAAAATGATTCCAGCTGCTTGGATTGCAG